CGTAGTTCGCCGGTGCATGTTGTGAGCAGGATGACGAGGGCGAGGAGGAGGAAGAAAAGGAGGTGGACGAAGAGGGCGAGGCGTGGCCGGGGCTTTGCTCTCTTTTCGGCAGATTTCAACCACAGTTGAGATACCAGTTCGCAGACGCTCTCAACTGGCGCGAAGTGACTGCAAAATGTTCTCTTGAGCTGTGCTTGGGCATGGTTTCTGTTGGCAAGGATGGCTGAGTCCAAAGTAGCATGTGACACGGTCCGGAGGCTGTTCCACAACATAATAATTGAGCAAGTGGCCTCTAGCAGGTCTCTGGCAATGAAGAGGATGCGGATGCTGCAGGCTTCTTGGTACTTTCCCTTTCAGCACGGGTCCTCATAGCTGATACTGTCAGAGATCAGCATGCAACTCAAGAAAAGCCTGCCGCGGTGTGCACATACTATCGCTTTGTGATACGCTTGCAGGAAAGCGCAAGCCTAAAGCAAAGGAGAAGTCGCTCTACGAAATGGACAGGCGCAGCCCTTGCCAGGTCTGCAGAGAGGATCAGAGAGGAATCATCAGATGGAACCTTTGATGAAGCATAGATGTGTTGCGCACTCACGTACCCCGAAAGGAGGCCTAGGTCGACCTCACATAACACCATTGCCCTTTTGCGAGCCTTAGGTGAAGGTATCCACCTGGTGACTAGCCACCTGGAATTTTTTTGATACAAGCAAGGCGTCTGCAGTCGTTGGAGGAGGAGGTGCGAAAGCTGGAAGAAGAACAGCCGCTGACTCGGACTATTTGCAGGCCTCTTTGATGGTCCTCCGTGGCACAGAGAGGATCACTGCCTTGACTGTGTTCTGTGCAAGTGTTGCTGGCTAGCACAATTCACTGCGATCTCGTCACGTGTGCATACAACAAACGTGCAGTGCACGGCACCACTCAGCTTGTCTGGGAAATGAGCTGCAGCTCTGACATCAAACGCAGTCCATGCACTTGTCTTATATCTCTAAGGCTACAGGAAAAGAGCTGGGAAATGAAGGGAGAGGCGGGGCTGCTGCTTGTTCAGGTGTGCTGCTGCGTATACTGTAGACCAAAGCAAAGCTGTTCTCAGCAGCAGGTTCTCTTGGGTTCTACCCATTGGGGCACCTTGTAGCTACCCCTGCACCATTTTTTTTTCGTAGCAAAAGGTAGCTTGCTAGATAATGGCGCAAGATGAGGAGTAGAGGCTCCTTACCTTCTGAACTTTGCTTGAATGTTATCGCTGTTCGGACTCAGCTGCACTTTCTGTCACAATGAATAGGCAGCTTTGATTTCTAAATCCATGTTCTATCATGTTCTGCAAAGTGTGTGAGTTTTCCAAGTCGCAGCAGCTTTTCTTGTTCAGACGCCCAGGTCACTGCACGCCATCGGCCTTTGAACTCCTTGCTGGAGGCAAGCTTGCATAAGCCCGCAGTCCTCAAGACAGAAGCTGCTCACCGTACCGCCTCGGCGTAGCATACATGCGCCGCTCGTTGATTCGAGTAGCTCCGAGTCGCTGGTTTAAGCAGTCATGTCTTCTGGTGAAACTGTCAGCAGCCAGCGCCCAACTAAAGGTTGTGCTGACGCTCGACATCGGGCATGAGCGTCCCATATCCAGTAGCCCAGCCTGTACAGGTGGCATTGGACCAGCCAATGACCCACTTCGCTGCACGCCGAGCAGAGGACATATACAACAGGGGGCAGCGCAGTGGGACCTGAGACCCTGGAGTGGGTCCATCCCTTCTCCCAATTCGGAAGCATGCCTCGCCGTTCACGCTGAACACTACCATTTCTGAGGCCCTCTGAGGCCTATCATGCTTCTTCCTTCTTGCTGGCCGTGCCGCAGGAGACAGCAGGTGATGCCGAGCTTGATGAACAGGCCGCTGCACTTTGAACATTGTGATTGCAAGCGGCCTTCTGCAGGAGAGTGCATTACAAGGAAACAAAGCACCCGTATCCAAACTTGGAGCTCCAACTGCGGCTACACCCTAGTGTGGCTTCAGCTTAGACTTTCCCTTGCCAAGTGTTCCTGTCAGGCACTCGAGGATGCGCCTGGTGCTGACGCAGCCGCGGCGCGACGGCCAAAGTTGGACCTCGAGGCAATTTCCAAGGATGAACTTTGAAAAGGTTCAGCCTGGGGTAGCCGGTTCATTGTCAGCCTGGGTCTGTTTTTTTTTCAATGCCAAGTCTGCAACAGTTGCATAGGAACAGGCCTCATCACAGGCAGACGGATGACAAAAACGATGATCATGATCTGGCCCGTCATCTCGCTTGCACGCAGGCTTCGCAGCGAAGTGTTCGTGCTTCAGAGGATTTTAGAACAATCAGCGTGCTGAAGGCCATCATCAAGCAGCGTATTTGGGACGAATCTTACGACGATGTGGCTTGAGACTTAGAAAGGAGCGTCGCAGTCTATGGAATCTCTTGAGCTGTTCTGAGAATTCTTTGATGTGCCAGCAGCCGACTCTCTAAGTGTTATCCCTGAGGTTCGAAAGGCCCAGCTCCCGCCATCCCAGCGACCGCAAGGGGCAGACGAGGCCACCCACACACCCAGACCTCGCACGCGCTACGATCTTGGAACCAGCTCTGCTTTCATATGTGCCTCATGTACTAGCACCGGCGAATTGGAGAAGTGCACATAGGATCCGTCTTCCTGACAGCCAAGCGTTAGGATGCCGTGGAGACCTTGAACTTCGAGAAGAGCCGTGTGGGTCTCGGCGACATCTATGCAAAGCAGTACGAGGCAAAGGGCTGGACTTCGGCAGGGTTGCGGCCTTGAAGTGGCCCTGCAGTGCAGGCAGAGATGCTCGGTCACCAAACAGATCAGCAGAAAGCCGAAGACAAGGACTGCAGGGAAAGAGACTCCAAAAGCAAGGAAGGGCTGACGTAGTCCTTCCATCTAGAAGATCTGAGAGGACTATCTGGCCACTCCCAAAACAAGCAACAGCAGCAGCAGAAGCAGCGGCAGCGGCAGAAGCAGCGGCAGCGGTGGCAGCAGCGACAGCGGCATCAGCAGCAACAACAACTACTCCTCCTCCTCCTCCTACTA